TGTGCTCTTCCGATCTTTCAATCTTTTATGAAACTGTAAAATATATAAAAATTACTTTATAATTAGAAACATTTCCTCCAAACTCCTTGATTTCCTCTTCCTTAGCTTTATCAAACAATAAAATGATAATAATTCAAATAATTGGAAAAGGAAGTTTAGGAGTTTGGAAAATTATATATGAGCTGTCGAGAATTAGTTAACAAGATTTCACAATTATGGAAAATCAAAGAATTATTAATATTACAGGTAATAACGTTGTATTAATTGCTAACGATTATATTAATCATCACTCACTTTAGAATTTTCTTTAGCCTTCTTTGCAAATCTGTTGTTATCTTCGTCGTCACTTACAGATTTTTTCATCAATCTCTTTCTTTCCTTCTTGTCCGGATTACGAATATCAAATTTCTCAATTTCTAACAATTGTCGATGCAAATCTGTCCATTCTAGAAAATAAAAATAATTAACTCCTACTTATAATATTGAAATATTATAATATAAAAGTCACTTAACGTCAGTTTGAAAGTTATGTCGGATTGAGTCAACAGCTATATAAGCTCAAGAAGCAAATATAATAGTATATTAATAACCCGAAATACAATAACATACACAATAAATAATAAATTTTAATATTAAATGTTATTGAGTATTCTATATATTATACTTTACAGATTATAATTTTGAATAAAAATATTTAGTTAGATAAGTTGACATACCTCCGAATGCAAGAATTCTGACTGCTGACGTGATCCAATCCTTCTTGGTCAATGATTTAACAATCTTTTTCATTTGTTGAGCACTTTTAATTTCACAGGACGGCCATAAAATTTCTACTAGCGTTTTGTTCTTCACAATAGTTTTTATATTTTCCTCATTGTCTTTGTCTTTTACTAGCCAGTCTTGAAATCCGACGGCAATACTGTTATCTTCATTTACGAATTCAACTAGTAGACATTTATCGTTATTCATCGTATTTTTTTTTTGATAATACGAAATTAATATAGAAAATTCTTTCTTTTTCTTTTTTCTTTCTAGGCATACGTGGTAATTCAGAAATATGTTTAACGTACGTATTTATAGAAGTTATTTGAGGTTAAAAATCCGCGTGAGGTTACAAACGTCCGCACTTGTGGATTTTTGCATATAGTTATTATCATATAATTCGTTCAACTCTATTCGGTGAGACAGTTTATCAACAAAAACTTATCCGTTCGCGC